ACAACCCGGTTTGTGGTAATGGCAATCCAAGCTGAGAGAAATGTGAGAGACCGGGTCTTATGCACCAAAAACCCCTGCAACTGCTAAGGTCGAGCGCCCTGTTTGGAGGGTTGACGCCAGGGAGAGCGCTATTGAAATGATGTGAGCACTGTCTGCGCGAGCTGCTACGCACAATTTCATGCCGAACTTGGAGGCTTGGGGACAATACCTAGGGGTATTGCCCGTCACCAGCAGACCGAAAAGCGAATGAAGGCTTTGCGTGAGGACGTCTGCTCCATCAAAGAGGTAAGAAACCGAGCAGTGATAGGGAATACCCAGGGCGGTGGTTTTATGCTCCAAGGGCATAGTTGCCATCTGCAGCAAATGATCAGCAGAAACAGTGTTGCCCACTTCCGCAAGGCTAAGGATTTGTAGCCCAAAGGTTCGAGATTCGAGCACTTGCATACTAGGCGGAAGCATCCATTGCGCATCCACATTCATACCAGTCTCCTCCTGGGACGGTAGAGGAGCGAAGGCTTCAGGAAAGGGGATGACAGCAACAACCCATGACCTGGGGCTACTCTGTCTAGCCGCGTGCTCCTCATAAGTTTCAGTTGTCCCTTGTCTGGATTTCTTCTTTGGTTGCGCGACAAACTCTAGTAAGACCGACCCCTAGGAGGGCATACGCTGCATTATCTTCACGAAACACTATTCGGTAAGCTTTACCAACTTGGCACCCAATGTGGATCTTCTCCGGCGGGAGGCTAGTGAGATGGTCAAAACTGCAGTTTTGTAGATGAGGGGGGCAGAAGGCAGCTGCTCTCGAGTGGGCTACGAAAGCAATTCGATATTCATGCATACCCCTCAGGATCAGGTCCAGTTCCTCATCCTCATCGCACTCCAATTTTCACAGCAGCCACAATCAGACCCATGGACCGTGGCGCTCAGGTAGACAATAGCCAGAAGAGTCTCCTCTTTGCTTCGACGCGTGCATTAACCTAGCTGCAACAACGATACTGCAAGCAGTGCTCGAACCGCAATCCTCTACACCAGGTTTGCGTCGAGAGATACCAACGGGGTGCTTTTGTTCCACAGGATTGAGTGACCTTAAGCTACCCCTCGACTTCCATAGACTGTGAGCTCATGCCTTTGACAATTGCAAGCTTCTCTCTTTAGTAGACATATCCGAAACAACCATACTGGAGACCCGAGAGTTCACATTTGCGAACTGTGTGCTTCTCCAGAGAGTAATGCTCCCATAGCCGCTTTGCAAGAGCTAGCCATCCCACCATCACGCCATTACATTGTCTGCAAGGCCTTTTGGATTGAACAGTTTTGAGAGGGCTTACTCGAATGCCAGGCAAAAGAACTACATGGAGAGGGACCTATGCCGAAGAAACGGCCTTTGCGCTCTGCCCTAGATGGCGCCTGCCACAGTGGCTTCACCTTATCCCCGATCTGGGATACGTGTCGGACTTGGCCTGAGTCCAACTAAGCCACATCGTAGATGCCAAGTAGCAAGAGCATTACACCAATGCAGTCCGACTGCCCTTTCCAACCCGTACAAAGGAGAGATGAGCTAGACAAGTGTCGTCACTACTCAGAGACCAACATGTCCACATCTGCACACTCCCAGTGAGCTGACGCAGGCGAGAACCTTAGTTCTCGACCTGTGTCTGCGCGCGCTGGTAGGATAGACAGGTGGTTGGAACCCAGGTGAGAACCTTAGTTCTTGGCCTGACTGTGGGTCCGTACCCTGCCAACCTTGTACAAAGTGGGCAAACGACACCACACTAGCCTTACCACGTTTCACCCTGTTTCACTAGGGCCTTGCATGATGGAGGCGAGTCGGTTGATGAATCGGATTGCTATCCAGCTAGGATAGCACATTGCACATTTGATGTGCTCCTATAGGCTTAGCTGTTAAGGAGCTTGCTTGAGATGTGCAACACCTGCTCCCTCTGCTCGAGGGAGCTACGCCAGGCGCCGGAAGGCGCGCCTGAAAGCAATGACTTCCATATGCCCGCAGGCCACAGCTTTCCCTGCCTTCACAATTGCTTGGAACAATCGTGACCAGGTTACTGGTGTTTTCCATGGCCAGACCTTCATTGCTCTTTGATCATCGAACCTTTGACTTGCTGAACTCCTTGGGAACTTCTCAGGCTCTGCTCAATATCAGTCAGCTGCAATATAGCTAGAGCACTTGCGCCAGTAAGTGCTTGTTTGGCCTGTCCACACACAGGCCGATCGTGCAAAGCCTCTTCGCATATGAATCGACCACCCTCAATAGCAGCTTGAATTTGAATTCGTGGCCCAGGTAGCAAACAGCCGTAGTTCCCGTTTCACCTTGTTTCACTTCCGATGGATGTTCTCGCTCGCTGTTTTTGTTTTCGTTGCTGGTTTTGGTGTTTTGGGTTGTTTTTTGTTTTGCTGGTTTCCCCTTTTTCGCTTCTTGAGTACGCGGAGTTTCAAACCTTAGCAAAAGATGACCTGTGCACACCGCACACATGGCGTCTCCACTCGTGCAAAAAAAAAAGTTGCTTCGACTTTACAGGAGACTCACCCAAAAACAGCACAAGCTGACCTGTGCATTTCCTGCACGTACGGCGGCTCCACTCGTGCAAAAAAGAAGAAGCGAGCAACATTCTGCAAAGGCTCGACGACCAAAGTTCACGCACCCCGGGGCAACTACTTGGGTCAATGCATACTACGGTGGCACATACCACTCATGAAAGGCCGCACTGCTGGCGGGAACGCCCTTTCGTTTGGCGCGTTAGAGCTTGCTTGACAGCAGTGGTTTTCCATGAGCCATTTTCAGGAGCATCCTTTCATGGTTGGTCGCCGTTCCTGGTTGCAGTTGATCAAAGTTCGCCTGGTCGCTTTGCCATGCCTCTTCAAGCGATATGCAAACGTGAGCATAGAATAAGCATCCTGGAGTGCCTGGTGCAATGGCCTGTGTAAGCAAGCCTCAGACAAAGTGCCCTCGATGCTGCCATTAATAAATCCATACCGCACTTCAGATTGCTCACATTGAGGAGTTTTGGAAGAATTCATTGCCCAATAGACTTAGGTCTCACTCCAGGTTTCACCTCCGCATGACGATACTGAGTCTCCTCGCCTTTCTGTTTTGGTTCTGTTGTTTCCCCCTTGTTTGTTTTGGGGCGGTTTGTGTTTGTTTTGGTTCTTGTTTTGTTGCCCTTTCCTGGCAGGAGACTCACTTACAAAACAGTACAAGCTGACCTGTGCATTTTCTGCACGTACGGCGGCTCTACCCGTGCAAAAAACAACAGCTTCAATGCAGTTCCTCAATGCTCCAGTTTTTGTCTTGACGCCTTTCACAGTGCGTTGAGGTGTTTTGCAATGGAGACGTTTTCTCTGTGGAGTTCAATAGCATTTTAAGAATGGTGCGGCACTTTGAGTGTTTTTTTTGCACGCCACGTTGTGGACGAACAGTGCACAGCTGAAAGCAGAACTTTCAGTGCGAAACTCTGTTTTGGAATGGACCAGAGTGTTTCAAAGGGCCTGTTGATGAATCAACTTTTGGCCATGTGTTTTCGCTTTGGCTTAAGAGAGTCAGGCAACCCCGTCAATGTTGTTTTGTCACACGTGCGCGCAGAAGGTGTTTTAACGCTTTTGGGGAAAAGGGTGCGCAGTGAGTGCGTTCCGTTCCGCAGGGTGGCGGAGCTTGGTCAAAACCACTTTCATCAAAGCTCTCAACTCTGCAACCGCTGACCCCGCACTCTTGCGATAACGGCAGCCCCATGCGTGCAAAACATGGATTGGAGCTGCACGCGCAAACTTTTGGAATTCAAGCAACTTCTTTCAAGCAGTGGAACTTTCTTGCAGCCCGAACCAGTTCTTTCAGCGACCACACCCAAGTGTTCTTGTTGCAACACTGTTGTTCACGAAAGGTAGCCCTTTAGGGGATACCTTGAGTTTGTCTTGCGAAGCAAGTGTTGGGACGTCCGGGTCTAATAATTGATCGCTCAATTCAGACCCCCCCCCCGCCCCCTTGGAATTGATTTTTCAATACAGACCCCCCCCCTTCCCCCCTCTAAAATCAATTCTCTCCTGGAGATCGTCTTCGTGCGCCTCTCATGATTTCAGGATAGTTGAAACCCTCTTGAACATTCAGAAAGAGTGAATATGAAATTCTAATCACGAAAGGTGTTCCCCGAGGGGATACATACTTAGAGTTTGTTTTGTGAAGCACGTCAATTCTCTCCTGGATAGCGTCTTCGTGAGCCTCTTATGGTTTCAGGATAGTTCAAATCCTATGATGTTCCGATTCAATGCTCACCGATGATCTGAGCCATGGGGCAAGTTTGTTTTCCTAAGAATCTTTTTGAACATTTCGAGAGCACATGTTTGAACATTTAAAGTGCATATGAACATATATGTACGAAAGGTCGCCTCCGAGGGGATAAATCACCATGTCGAACATTGCATTTTTGTTCCTGCCTCTCGCGTTCTCTTCTCTTCCCGCTGTCCTACCTTTCGTGTCTCCCTCCTCTCAAGTGTGGTTTAGGCTTGCCCTTTGTGGTCAGTGAAGAACTTAATTCGTTTCGGACTATATGCGCCTACCCAGCTCATGGGCTGCGATGATAGTTTGTGCGTTGTTGAAATGACAATGAAACAACTCATGAACTTTTTGCATCCCAAAGTTCCAGCAGGGGTAGCTGGTTATTGCTTTTGGTCGAAATTGAGCCGATACCACTTCGAGGCTTCAGCTCTGTGCAACTGCGAAACATGTCCTAGCTGATGGATTTTGCAATGGTGTTCCAAAACAGGCAGCTCGCACAGCACTACGATTGGTTCAGCTGAATTGTTATTTTCTGCAATTTAGGGCAACCACACAAGTTGGGGTTTGTGCACATTGTCGGCCGTGCCAACGTCTGGGCCTTTGCAAAGCACAACGAAGCAAATGACACATTGACACCTTGTGGACCTTGTGCCTTGCCCAATTGATTTGATACCTTGCCCAACTGACTTTTCCTTGACCCGTGTGTTTTCATCAGGTCATGGAGATTTTGCTCAAAGACACCAAAGGCCCGTTGAAACGGTTTTTCAAGTCCCATAAAAACCTTTGGTATGTCAAATTCCCAGAGCATGCTCTGAACCCGTCGCGAGATCGATGAACTTGTAGCAGGGTAGCACTTGTCATCTCTCGTTGGGCATGATGAAGCTGATGACATGCGTGCATTGTTGCGTATCCGTCGCAGGTGTGTCGCCGGAGACCATTATCTCCATCAGAGCAGGAGCCACCCGCCGCCAGGACGGCTCCATGCACTTGAGATCATAGCTTGCGAAGTGCTGAAGGAGCCGATCTTCAACATCGGTTTCACTACTGAGTAACTACTGATGACCTAGTGTCCCAAAATATATTCAATACAAGTGATTCACTATTATTCACTATTTGTTCATTTTTCTTGCCAGGTTCCTGTGTCACTGGTGGGAGACAAGCCCTTCAGGCAAAGAGCCCAGGTTTGTCGTCAAGTTACTTGAAAAATCCACAATACTGAGCAAAAGACATTTTCAGCCGGGAACTGTTTGCATTGTTGAGCTGGGAGCTGCTTGTTGAAAAAGATCATGTGCTGTTTTTGATGTTCAAACATGTGGATCGCCATGATGTTTTTGAGATGTTTTTCAACTTCATCGATCTCAAAAGTTCAACTCATGTGGATCGCCTTCATTCGTCGCACCCCCAAGGTTTCCTTGCGCTCTCCGCGACTGTGGCGCCATCAAGGCGTGGAGAAGCTGATGTTTCTCTTTGAAACCGTGCCGTTTTGAAGCCGAATTCCCAATCAAGATTGTCAGTTTTTTTGTTTGACTGGTCAACGTACACTGGCTGAAGATGGACATATTAATGGTCAGACTCGGCGCGGCGGATAGCGCAGGTGGACCTGTTGACCGTGGCAGCGTCGGCCCGGGCCGTGCTGACCGGGAGTGGCCGGAGAACCCGGAGGTACACGTTTGGTCTTCACATGTGTTTGGAAGATGGTCCCTTTGTTTGGAAGGTTTGGAAGAACTCATGTGCTTTTTGACTTCCATTCATTCTGTTGACCAACAAGCAGTGATGATGTTTTTGCTGGTTCACTTGGTTCACAGTCCTGAGCCAATTTGAGGTGTCCTTTTCTTTTTGATTCCCCTTTGAGGATTCATTGCTTTGCATGACAAGAGGGCTTCTTTGCCTGCTACGGCAGAGCCATTTCGTAGGTTCACGGCCAAGCACGAAGGACCCCGGCAGAGAAGACTCCTCCTCCCGGCCGCACAAGCGCCGTGTGGGTCTGTTTCCCAAAGGATCTATTCATGACCGCACATTTTCACAAGCGAAGTGCGAATGGATATAAATAAATAGATACATATATATATATGCTTGTCTATCACATAGCTGAGCTGGTTCCCTCTCAAGTTTCTTGGCTCAAGCCTTCGCCTGTGCATGTCCTTTTGGCCTCACGCGCTTGACCTTGCGCGTGAGCTGCGGTGGGCGTGGCCGAGCACCTCGTCGACTCACTGCACTGGGCTCGGCTTTTCTTTCTTGATCCTGGCCATCCTAGCTGGCTGTGCTGTTGGTTGCTGCTGCGGTGCTTTTGCAACCTTACTGGTGGTCTCCAATACCTTTAGGAGGGTACTTCGACAGGTTTTCCTGGGTCTAGTGGCCTTGACCACTCCGGCTGGGGTGGTGACTGCTCAGCCTCAGGCGCTCCGTCGAAGGCTGAGCGAGTACCGGGACGGTGCATGAGCCAGCCTGGTGAACTGGACTCCGTGACCGTGCGGCTTGGAGAGTTATCGATTTCGATCACTCGCAGCCCTGGACGTCGATCTTCTGAGGCTTCAGGTTCTGCTGTGGTCGCCCCTGAGAGTGAGTCTTCATTCACCGTCATCACAGAGTCCCCCTCTCTCCAAGGTGCACTTGATCGCCCCGTGGAGGGCACTAGCACAGCAGACCCCAGTACTTTGCGAGTTTTGGTTGACCCAGGTGATCCTTTCATCTCGGACGCTGAACCGTGGACTTGGGAGTGGGAGTCAGCTTTGTTGGCAGCTCGAACCCCCATTGAGTTCGAGAGGATTTGCCTAGTGCCGGTGCAAGGATTAGCTGGCCGCCTGAGATCTGCAGGCGGTGGCTGGTCGCCTCTAGCGCGGCTAGGCAGAGCCCTGAGAGCTGGCTTGATTGCCCGTGGTCGCCTCGAGCATCGAACTGCTTCTCATCCAGCTGGAGCCGACTTGCCCTTGGACAATCGCATCTACGTGATCATTCGCCCTCGGCCTGATCGTGAGCCGGGTTGGACTGATCACTATCAGACCTACCTGGAGGAAGTCCGGGGTGCTACGACCAGGTTCCACGGGGACGTGATCTCACACGCATTCCCGTCCCGAAGTGAAGCAGAGGCCTACTGTGTTGGGGCAGGTGTGGCATGGCCCGCACTGCTGCAGCGCAGGCGCTGAGTGAAGAGAGCATCAGGGCCCTCTTGGGGGCCTGTGGGCCAACAGGTCCACTACCTTCGCTTTTTCTATGCCTTCCCAATCGAGAAGATGGCATGGCCGTCAGAGTTGCTGCTTTCCTCATCAGGCTGCGCTCCGGTGGTTTCATGGTGGCACTACCGGATATAGAAGAAGCAGCCCATTTCCTGCAGGCTCAAGAGACGGAGGCTGGCATGGAAGCGGCGGCTGCTTTGTTCGCCGCCAATGTGATGATGGAAACACCCAGAGGCAGAGCACTAGAGGAAGCAAGCATCCTCTTTGCCGATTTGATTTGGCCCTTAGCCACTCTGTTCATGCGGGGAAGCCCTCTGCGAGCTCCTTCCATGGTAGAAGCGCTGAAGTTTCAGGTGGGAGAGCAGCCGGCTCGTCCCAACCGTGGCAGCCTCGAGACAGCCGCAGATCAGTGGATCCACGAAACCATGGACGAAGACACCGCTGCGGACTATGTCACCGTAGATGGGGGGCTCGTCGAAGAGGAAGAAGAACCTCCGGATGTTGTGGAGGGGTTGCAAAGGCGAGTTCAAGAGCTGGAGGCTCTTCTGTCGCAGCAACCTGTGGGTCGGCCGACTCAGGCTGCAACATCATCCATGACTCCAGAAACACCTCCTCGAGGAATTTTGTTCAATGCAGTTCCCAATCGGCGCACCCAGGTGCAGACTATGGCTACACTTCGACAACTAGCTGGCACTCCGCCTCCGCGCCTTGGGACGCACGAGAGAGCCGTGAGAGAAGCGCAGCCTGGCCACTTTCTGGAAACACTGCAACAGGAAGAGAACCTCGAGGCGGTGGGGGCTCCAGAAATGGAAGAAGGGCTTCAAGAGTTGGAGGCTGCGGTGGTCGATCCACTGCAGAGGATGCTGTTGATGCAGATGAAGCAACTCCAAATACTGTCCAAACAACAGCAAGAGAAGCGTGTGGACCCTCTTCACGCCGCTCTGGGCGGTTCAGAGACAAGTGGGATGCCTCGCCCGCGATGCTTATGTGAAGCTTGCCGGCGATGTCGCCAAGGTGGGAAACATCGTCCAGGTGAACGCTGCCACGGAGTTGGGCTTGGATCCTCACCAGGTGGGTTCAGGGCTGATGAGAGAGTATTTGGAAAAGCGTGTTCCTTTAGGCGATCAACGCCTGTTGACCCAGATCGGATATCTGTTCGCAGCTGCATGGGAGCACGGGTTCCGGACCGGGAACCACGACCTCATCGGTCATGCCTCTCGAGGAATGCTCTTCGTGGACCAGGCCGCGACAGATTTTGGTCGAACAAACCTGGCATGGTTGTTGACCTCCCTGCCAGAGCCTCAATACTCGATCACACAAAGGAATCGGACTCGGAATTCCATGAGTCCATTCACTCGGCTCGCCCAAGCTTCATGGATAGCAGCAAATGTGTCCTACATGAAGGACCTGGATTATCTGGATGGGCGCATCAAAAACGCCAATTCCAGTGCGTTGAACACTCCCACCAAAGCAGAGGGCGAAGAAGACTCCACCACGAAGAAGCAGGCATGGAAAAAGAAGAAGGCCAAGCAAAAGGGCGATGCCCCAGGGGGGGCGCAGGAAAGTGGATGAGTAACGAAACTGCCAGCTCTCAGCGTCCCGCAGATCCTCCTTTGCTGCGTTCTACTTCCTCAGGACGGGGGGATTGTATCCCTACTGTCTTTTGCGGTCGGGGGGGGTCTGTGGAATTCGCTGAGGAGCATGTGGCAGGAAGCAGTCAAGAAACGGATGACGGGCATCTCACGGCTGAGAAGACTTTCCCTCAGGTCGTGGACTGTGACCTCAAGGGTGCTCAGAGCAATTCAGTGCACCGAGCTTGTGCGCGCAGTTTTGAAAGTGTCTACTCTTCCTGGAGCCTTTCGCAGGTTCGTGGGGAGAAGCATGACAGAGTTCCGCATCGATGATGAAGGTCCGGTGGCTCCACGCTCGGACCTATGGCCGTGTCCCCCGCCTCGATGGCGGCGATGGACACCTATGCAGTCGCTTTCACCTCGGCGCCGGAAGCGCCATCGTTTGCTGGAGACGAAGGCTCTATGTGTCCAGCAGCTGGTGTTGGCCTTAAACTGGTTGACGTTGGGTCATGCCCACTCACCTCCCGTCTACGCCAGAGCAGGTTACCCCATGAGCGCACAGCAGCTTGCTATGGTTGAGCGGCTTGAGAACCTGGTCGAATACTACCTGGGTGCTCCGACTGCCGCCTTAGACAGTTTAGGCCGGGCTGGGGAGAAGCTGACTAAATTAGCTCAATTAGCTTTTAAGCTGAAGGACCCCTCAGATGTGTTTTCTGTTGAGGACCTAAGTAGTTTTTTACAAAGCATTCAAAACTCGTTTGAACCCTACTCACGGAACCGACAAAGAGCAGCTCAAACGTATGAGCCTCAGCCGGGCACGTACAGCAAAGACAAGGCCACGGCCGTGGAACCAGAGACTCGGGTCGCTTCTAGTTCTTGTGCAGCAATGCCAGTTGTTGCGAACAGAATTAAGTGGAAGCTTGCGCCAGCATTTGACCCAACTCCCTATCTCACAGACCCCATTGTGAAAAGAGCTTTTGCAGACCCGAACGTGCTTCGTCGACCGGAGCGGGACTGGCCACGTTTGCCAAAAGCCAAAGTTCATGCAGATCGAGACCAGATCTGGCAGCTTGCTGAAAAATGGGATGCACTCCACGCTTGCAGCTTGGTGGCTTGTGAGATGGTTCAATCGGCTGAAGCAGTTGGTTTATTTGCGGTGCCCAAAGATTCGGAATATGACAGACTTATTTTGAACCCAACGGTAGTGAACAGCCGGAGCTTTTCCTATGTCTCCTTCACAAAAACCATTGCCCCGGGGTACTTGATGAGTTTGGTCAGGATTCCTCAAGATGAAAATTTGTTGGTGTCGTCAGATGATTTATGTGAGTTTTATTACACCTTCAAAGTGAGCCCCTCGCGGGCGCGGCGTAACGCCATTGGTGTGCGATTCAAAGGTTCAGATTTTGCAGGGTTCAGTTGCTATTCTCCAGCACTCCATGACAAGGAGGTCTATGTGTGTTTAAGCACCCTTGCGATGGGAGACGCACTTGCGGTTGAAATTGCCCAACAGAGTCATGTCAATGTTCTTCGCAATTTGGCGTCTTGCATGCAGCTTCACGAATGTTTGTTGTACAGGCAACCAGTTCCGAGAGGCCCCTTTTTTGAACTCTTGACCATCGACGATCACATCGGGCTTCAGAGAGTCAAGAAGGATGGTTCCCTTCCAGAACTTCATAGCCGTGACCTCCAGGTTTTCAAAGCAGCAAACGAAGCGTATAACCATGTGAACCTCACAGCACACCCTGGTAAGATGCGTCGGAGAGATGAGCATGCAGTTGTGTTAGGAGCGGAAATCGATGGCCGTGTTGGCCGCTGTTCAGCGCCGCGGGAGCGCGTTGCATTGTTGAGCTTCATCACAAGCATTGTCATCCATAAGAGGCTGGCCACCCGAAAACTTTTACAAGGACTGATAGGGTGTTGGACTCATGCACTTCTTTTTCGCAGACCCATCTTTTCAATTTTAGATGCTGTTTATCATGAAGGGGATACTTTGAACGGGGATGTACTGTTCAGAATTTCCGACTCTTGCCGAACCGAACTCATGTTGTTGTGCCTTTTGGCCCCTGCTATGCAAACTGACTTAAGAGCAGAAGTTGCATCAGAACTATATATGTTGGATGCTTCACCTTACGGCGGGGGCGTGTGCCATGCTGCATTCTCTACCTTCGGAGCAGAGGAATTGTGGAGGCACACTGAGCAAAAGGGTTTTTACACTCGTTTGCAGTCAGATTCAGGTGCAACATTGCGCGAGTTAGGTATTGAGCATGCAGAGTTTTTTGGAAATGAAGAGCAGCAGCCCCCGTTCTCCTCTTCTCTATATGCACAGCCTGAGTTGGTGAGTTTGCGGAAGAGTGTGCTGCAAGATCACACCCAAGTCAGTGACTGTATCGAACTTTTCTCGGGACAGGGGAACTGGAGCAGATGCCATGCAGCGGCAGGACTTCAGGTGCACCCGGGCATTGAGAGATCAGCCACGGGAAAGTTTTTTGGTGACTTGAGCGATAACAACACCTTTCGAGAGTTGGCATATCTTGCATACCATGGTGCTATCAGAGAATGGCACGCTGGTCCACCCTGTTGGTCATTCGGTACATTGCGCAGGCCTAGGTTGCGGTCAAAGGACAAACCCGCTGGTTTTGACATGACCGATGGACCTACACGTGAGCAAACGTTGCTGGCTATTAGGACAGCTTTCCTGTTGACATTAGCTTGCCTCAGTGGTTCGTTTATTTCAGCAGAACAGCCAGGTGGTTCAGTAATGTTTTTGCTTGCCGCTTTTCAACGATTGCTAACCTTGGGGTGCCGGATCACCAAATTTTGTTTCTGCAGCTTTGGGACAGGGTTTATGAAACCCAGTAAGTGGCTGCACAACAAGCCTTGGTATGATTCTTTAGCAGGCAAGTGCAGGTGCAGATATAAGAATAATCATTTCACCGTACAGGGAACCTTCACTAGATCCTCCATCAGACAGTTCGACCACAGATGCAATCCGGACACGTTGACCGTGTACGGTCGGCAGCCCATGCCGGGCGAAGCAGTAAGCCGGTTTTCAGCATCATACCCCATTCCTCTTTGCCAGGTCATGGCTAGTGGCAGTTCTGCAGCCTTGAAAGGCGGCATCAGACCTCAGCAGACGAGTCGGGGTTTTTGGACGACTGCTGATGATCAGGAAGACGAGGAAGGACCTTCTTTTGTGCGTGAATGGTTTGATGACCCACTCTGGGTCGAAGACATCTGTGAAAGTTTGCCGTTCAAAGAATTGTTCCGTTACAAGTTCAAACGTGGTGGACACATCAACTGTCTTGAATGCAGGGTGTATAAGAGTTGGCTAAAGCATTGCAGCAAGAAGCATCCACGATGTCGTATTGTCAGTTTTTTGGATAGCAGGGTTACGATGGGTGCAGCAGCCAAGGGGAGGAGTTCATCCAAAGCTCTCAGTCGAATATTGAGAACTTCCCTCGGTTACATTATTGGAGGCTGCTTATACCCAGGCGCACTCCATTGCCGATCATCTTGGAATCGAGCAGACGGTCCATCAAGAGATGGTGTCGTGCCAGGTCCCTCCAGACCTATTCCAGACTGGCTTTGCACTTTGCGTGATGGTGATGCTCGCTTGTTTGACCAAGTACTGGCCACTGCCAAGTGGACGCGTCCTGTCGGACGCTGGATCAGGCTGTTGCTTTTACTTGCCGGAGATATCGAACAGAATCCCGGACCTCCGTTGAACAACCTGGCTGGTTCAAACTATGTGCCTCGCGGCGAACTCAACTTGTTGGGCGGGTTTGCAACTGCGACCACTTCACGGATGAAGAAATGTTTGGACAGCTTTAAGTGTTGGCTTCTTGAACAAGGTTTGAGTTTTGAGGAAGTGAGTGCAACTGCTGATGCGATGAACTTGGCTTTGCGAGCTTACGGGCTAGCTCTTTTTCGGGAAGGTAAACCAAGGTATCTCCTGGTCTATGCGATCACGGCCATTCAGCAGATCTTTCCAGAGTTTCGTAGGCAACTTGCAGGGGCTTGGCAGATTGATATGAAGTGGCAAAATGAAGAGCCCGGACAATGCAGGGCTGTTCTGTCTGCCCCAATCCTGCGAGCCTTATTGACGGTCGCCTTGATTTGGAACTGGTTTTCTTTTGCAGGCTCAATCGCATTGGGCTTCGGTGGAATGCTCCACCCAAGCGAATTGTTGGGACTCACGAGACGAGACCTAATTTTTCCAGAAGATGCTTTGACACAGCAGCCTTTTCTATACATCTACATCAAAAACCCCAAAACGGCACGTTTTGCCAGGAGGCAACACGCACGTATTGACGATGTCAGTTTGATTTTCTTGGTACGCTGTATCTTCGGTTCACTTCCTTTGTCTTCAAAACTGTTTCCGGCGTCAACCGCGGTATTCAGACGACAATGGAATGGGCTGTGTGATCATTTGGGAATTCCTAGGCGTCAAGCTGATAGGGGGGCTACGCCTGGAGTGTTGCGCGGGAGCGGTGCTACCCATGAGTATCTAGAAACTTCGAACATTGCACAAATACAATGGAAGGGTCGGTGGAGCCGAATCAAAACATTGGAATACTATATCCAAGAAGTGGGGGCGCAACTGTTCCTATATAACTTGCCTGTTGAAACACGTCAAAGGATTTCTCTGCTAGAGTCGCATTTGATCGTGGTTCTGAAACATGTGTTTCCTGAGCAATTTCATTGTTTGTGCAGAGCAGGATAGCGAGGGTGGAAAGCTTACTTTACTACATTGCTGTGCTTTCGCTTCAGTTCATTGGA